CACACACACACACACACACACACACATCAGGAATCTGAACTCATATGCTTGGATTTTTCCTAAGCCCTGTAGATAGGATGGAATGGGCTTTGGCAAGCATTGGTAATCAACCAGCCATCCAGTCGACCAACCAACCAAGTGAAGAAGCAAGCCACCGATATGTTTTACTATGTAGAGAGAGAGAGAGAGAGAGAGAGAGAGAGAGAGAGAGAGAGAGAGAGAGAGAGAGAGAGAGAGAGAGAGAGAGAGAGAGAGAGTACCTGCAGAGCCTCCATAGCCAGCTGATACCAGTCACTGTCAGTCACCCCCAGGCATGCAACTCGATACGCATTCAGAAAGTCTTTCTTCTCCATGTACCGGTGCATGCTTGCCGATTGGGGAACATCTATCGTCTGCACTGTGCAATAAAGATGTTTTTGACATGATCACACAAAATAAACAAAGAAACAAATATTAAATAAGTAGATAGTTACCAAGGAAAATTCTTCAAGGACAGCAGATGAGATCGTTTTTGACAGAGCTTTCGTCAAAAGTTGAGAGTTTCAAACCTTTCCAAAGGAAAAAATCAGGACTCTGGGGACTCTTAGCAACTTGTCTTAGGTGGCTTCGACGCTGTTATATTCAGTGATCCGCGGTTGTTCGATGCCAGAACGACGCTGGTCGGTGCTGGGGTGATGCCCTGTAACCTGCTGATGCAGGAGCGTGAGGTCTGGTAGAGAGATCTGGGAATGCTTTGGGGTGGGCATTCCACGGGACAACCAAGGGTTGCTGCTGGGACGACGCTGGTCGGAGCTGGGGCGAGTCGCGTCGCCCTGTAACCCAGCAGATTGTGGAGGTGTGAGGCCTGGAAGAGCTCGGCAGGGAGTGAGACAGTGTTGGAAAGCTTTAGAAGGGTTTGTTAAGGATTCCAAAGGTTTTTGAGCATTTGTAGGACCTTTCCAAATTTGACCTATCATCAAAGGGCGTCCCTGTTCAGTTAATCCCCTGGTTTCCGGGGCAATCAATGCTGGCAGGGGGAGGCCTTCTTTTTTTTTTTTCAAAAAGAGGTGAGTGGGAGAAGTAGATGGTTGGATATCAAGCATCCTACTAGTGAGGGGGCTTCAAGTTGCTGGTAGGATGGAAATAGGGTACAGCAGCAGCGGAGATGGTGGCTCTGCCGCAGTAAGTCTTGCCGGAGTGAGGTAAAGAGGATTGATGGGGGATTTCTGAGTCTTTTTCTGAACTTTGCCTATTTCTGAAGTTTGTCGTAGTTAGTTTCTAAGTAGCTCAAACTTTTCGTAGCCAGAACCGGGTAATGGCCCCGGCATCTCAAACTTTCAAACTTCTATGTAAATTTCCAAATGGGACGCTGGGCCCGGTTCCCAGCACGTGCTGCTCCCCACGAATAGACTGGAGCCTTGTTAAAAAAAAAAAAAAAAAAAAAAAAAAGGCCTGAAAAACCTTACAGACACTGGAGAAAGATAGAACCCATCACCCAAGGCTAGAGTCTTTGACCCACTCTTCAACTTCCTCCCCTGCCCTGTCCTCTCTCTCTCTCTCTCTCTCTCTCTCTCTCTCTCTCTCTCTCTCTCTCTCTCTCTCTCTCTCTCTCTCTCTCTCTCTCTACATGACATCCTTTGGCTGAGGGGGGCACATCCTGTGGCAGGGAACAGCCCCCTTCAAGATCCCATGTCACTATCTGGGGTATCCAGTTCTCTACCAAGGTCCCAAACACAAAAGAGTGCGTGCACCAACTAACCACTTGAGATGGTACAGAGAAAACCAGCATGGCCCCATTGTCACTGAACTGAAGTTCCGTGAATGATTTGGGACAAGGAGGGCACACACATATCCACAAATGGTGTTCAAGGAACGTCAATTAAACCACCAGTACATTTCCCACCCATTTTTCTCCGACGCGGCTGCATGCATGCCACAATCTGGGGGCTCGGCCGCCAGAGCAAAATGGCTGGAGGCGTGAGCGAACATGAGGCCTGCGCCGTTTGTATTTTTTGGGCCTGCGGGGCGTTTCAGGCCTTGGGAAAAAGAGGCTCGGAAGTACTGGTGGTTTAAGTGACACAAGTCAGAGAAAGAGTAGAGCTCAGCTGCTAACAGACCAAGCTCAATTCTGAAAAATGCAAAGGTCTAATCGTGGAGGATGAAAGTTACAAAACTGTGCTATGGCCAACCAAACTGTATGCTCAAAGTGTTGTCCACTGTTTGGACATAACCATCCGTGAATTCCACTCACGAAATCAAACTTGTGTGCTGGTGACCATGTGGTGGCTGCGGGATGTGTGTGTGTGGCTAGGTACACAGGGTCATGCGGCAATCCATGCTTGAGTAGGGCGAATTAGTCCTCAGTGGGCTTCACTTTCACCCCAACGCACTTACTAGCCTACTGGTTTAAGTGTCAGGCTCTGCTTCCAAAGCGGGTGTGGCATACTGCGCAGCCACACAGGCCTACAGGGCCCGACCAGCGTTCTCAGCCTAAAAGCCTGAAAACAAGGGCCTTCAGGCCCTGTGCCGTTTCAGCCTAAAAGCCTGAAAACAAGGGCCTACAGGGGCTCGTTAGACACTCCTTGGGTGCGTAAAGTCCCCGAGGAATTGTTCGTTCCACCTATCCTCGGGGATGCAGTCGGAAAAAAAAAGTGAAAACACTCCGAAGGAAATTCTTTGGGCTCCGAGGATTCCCCAGCCATTTCTTCCTTTTGCCCAAGGGACCTCACGAGGTCCCTTGGGCAAAACGAATCCACGTTTCACGGAGAGGAGCGGGCACATGGGTAGAGACTGCTAGAGAGACGTTACAACCGAGAATCTGGATCGTGGCAGCACCCTATTGGTTGAAGGCCTCAAGCACATTTGATTTTTTCTTTTCTTTTGTTTTTCTTTCCTGACATCGCTCGAAGGAAATGTCCTCAGGCGACGTCCCTGAGGACAGGTGGAACGAAGGGCCCAAATTTCCTTTTGAACCGAAAGGATTTTTTCCTTTTGCCCGAGGATAGGAGTGTCTAATGAGCCCCACAGGCCCTGTGTCGTTTCAGCCTAAAAAGGGCCCTCCAGGCCCTGAGTCTTTTCAGCCTGAAACGGAGGGCCATTTTCAGGCCCTCATAAGATCGACCTGCCCTGAAACTTAGGCACCAGACCAGGGTTTTAGCACATGCCATTTTGGGCCTGTTTTCAAGACAACCTTCGTTTGAACTTCAACGCCAGGGTCTGGCACGTTTTGGCATTGGCAAGAGCAGCCTCCTGGACGGGCCAGCACTATATAAGACTGGCCCGCCCTGCAGGCTGCAGACAGTCACGAGGTAGTTCATAGGGACTTCCCAGGCACTTCACGTGCAGGAGGCAGGAGGCAGTCTTCAGGATTCGGCAGCAGCACTCTGGAGGAGCGCTGCAGTAGTAGTAGTACCATAAGCAGTAGTCTCGCTGGGCGCTATTAGGAGCTAGAGTAGCGTTGGAGAGAGAGAGATGGTTGGCGGAGGCCAGGGAGACTTACCTGTGGCGCCATAGCTCCAGCTTCGTCTTC